TTGGCGCAGGATAGAGCAGGGTTTAGGGCTGTTGTGCATAGGGGTCGCTATGAGTCGCAAACGACTCGACGGCACATAACAACAACAACATTACAATCATCATGGGGGGGGTTTATGGTGGTTTGCAAATATATTTAAAAATTAGAAAATACAGGTAATAATTACTTTTGGCCTCTCAGGGTTAAATCTCGCGTTCTAGAAGGGGTCCTGCTTACCTGCTTTAATTTTTTTCTACTCCAGAATCAAAACAAGAAGTCAGGCAGTAATGACTTAAAGTATACATCTACCTGTCAAATCATTTGAAGTTTCTAAACATAACATAGATTTCATTTGAGCATGACCGTGTATGCATGTTTTTTTTAACAACAACATAACATTTATTGCATTAGGATGTGTAAAAGAATAACTTCAGTACTGGACCAATTGGCAGCATGAGGATGGATGGTGAAGAGATTGAGAGTGTTCACAGCTTTAGTTTGCTTGTCTCCACAGTCAACAGTCTTGGCACCAGCAGCCAGGAAATTAAAAGACATATTGCGATGGGAAAGTCTGCTGTTAGGGACCTCTCCAAAGTACTGAAGAGCAATGGTGTCACTCTGGAGACTAAAGTGCATCTGATAGAGGCCATGGTCTTCGCAATCACTTGTTATGCATCAGAGAGTTGGACAATGACTAGGGAGGATAGAAGGAGAATTGATGATTTTGAGCTGTGGTGCTGGAGAAGAGTATTGAGGGTACCATGGACTGCTAGGAAAACAAACAGATTCATCCTGGAGAGGGTTAATAAACCAGACGGCTTCTTGGAGGGAAGGATTCTGATGCTCTGTCTAACATACTTTGGACATGTTGTAAGGAGGGACTGGTCCTTGGAGAGGGACATCACGCTTGGTAGGATGGAGGGATGGTGTAGGAGGGGAAGGCCCTCTATGAGGTGGAATGATTCAGTGACTGGGGTAATCGGGATGGGAGGGTCAGAGACAGTGCAATTGGCACAGGGCAGAGCAGAGTTTAGGGCTGTTGTACATAGGATCGCTATGAGTCACAAGCGACTCGACGGCACATAACAACAACAACAACAACAACAACCAGAAAGCAACATTCATATCTGAAATGTTCCAATTCTGAAAACAACTTTTATTACATTGACTGATCTTTTCTTATTTATCTTTTAAATTGCTTAGAATTATTTTTAATGGTGATTTTAACTAAAGTTTTACCAAAAAAAGGCTGAGTTTTCAATTATCCATTTACACATTTTTCCTTTCCTCCCTTTTTTTCCTTCTCCCTTCCCCAATTCATTTGTAATACACCTCTTGTTCCAGGTTGTTAATTCTGACTTTCTTTCACACAGTCCTTTTCTTCATCTGACTCAATGCAGTGTTCATATTTTAACAGCACTCCTCCTGCTTCCTACCTGTGACTTTAACATCTCTTAGTCTTCCCATCCCATCCCTTCCTGCTTTCTGAGCTCTATCCCTAGGCTAGTGCTGCTCTTTTGATCTTAGATGAATCACTGTTTTGAGAACTAAGCACCTCTCTGTTGTTACGCTCATGTTATCTAAAGAACCTCTCTCTGAGTCAGCACCAGCTGACAACTCCCCCTGCAGCAGGTTTCTGAGGCTGTCAGTCTCACGAGAGGAGATGGCCCACCTCCCTCCTGCAGAACTGCTGGTGGGTCTGGACTGCCTTTAGAGGAGCCACTTTTCTCCCTGAGGACTTTTGTTTGGATGAAAGCTGAGCCACAGGATTTGAGGGCACTTTAAAAGTGTGAGTTCTGTGATATGTGAATTATATCAACAAGAAAGAATGAAATAAATGTCAGGTGGTTATAGAGAGAAAGGAACAAGAGACTGAGAAGAGGCTTCACATTTATTGATCGCATACTATGCCTCAGGTATTTTACTTTATTTATTATTTAGGTCTCACACACACCCTAAGAAGCAGGCATATTCCCTTCACATCGTAGATTAACGAAGTAAAAGCTCATACGTGTCATGTATTCAAGGAGACTCAGCTAGTTAGTGTCAGTCACAGTTACAAGACAGGTCTGTCTGTCTTGGGAGCCCTTTCCACTATGGCATTACAGCTCCATGTGGTTGTAAAAGCAGCCTTGCACTTGACTGGAGCTCTTCATTATACCTTGCACAGTGGTGGACAGGCTGAATGAACACTGAGACATTATCACCCGTTACCTCTGCAGATGACACCTGGAGAGCTAGCTCTCGCGAGCGGCAACTATACCCCAGTTACCCATTTCCTCTTACTGGGCTTCTCCGATTACCCGGATCTGCAAGAGCTTCTCTTCGGAGTCTTCCTGCTCATCTACGCCATGACCGTGGTGGGCAACCTGGGAATGATGACCCTCATCTTCACAGACTCCCGTCTCCACAGCCCCATGTATTTCTTCCTCAGCATCCTCTCTTTTCTTGACATCTGCTACTCCTCTGTGGTCACGCCCAAGCTCTTGGTCAACTTTCTGGCCTCGGACAAGTCCATCTCTTTTGAGGGCTGTGTGATTCAGCTGGCCTTCTTTGTGATACACGTCACCACCGAGAGCTTCCTTCTGGCCTCCATGGCCTATGACCGCTTCATGGCCATCTGTCAGCCCCTCCATTATGGTTCTGTCATGACCAAAGGGACTTGTCTCCAGCTCGTGGCTGCTTCCTATGCATTTGGTGGTGCCAACTCTGCTATCCAGACCGGGAATGTCTTTGCCCTGCCCTTCTGTGGGCCCAACCAGGTAACCCACTACTTCTGTGACATCCCCCCGCTCCTGCGCCTCGCTTGTGCCGACACGGCCACAGCAGGGGTCGTCCTCTACCTCTTCTCGGCACTGGTGACCCTGCTGCCTGCTGCGATCATCCTCACCTCCTATAGCCTGGTCTTGGGAGCCATCGGGAGGATGCGCACGGCCGCGGGGCGGGAGAAAGCCCTCTCCACGTGTGCCTCCCACTTCCTGGCCATTGCGATTTTCTACGGCACCGTGGTCTTCACGTACGTCCAGCCCCATGGATCGGCGGACACCAATGGCCAAGTCGTATCTGTCTTCTACACCATCATCATCCCCATGCTCAACCCCTTCATCTACAGCCTCCGCAACAAGGAGGTGAAGGATGCCCTGCACAGGAAGCTCCAGGTCAGCATCTTCCCGAGCTGAGCCCAGGTGAGTGGTCACAGGAAGGAGGAAAGCATCGCATCGTCCTTTCAGATTGACATAGACTGACCTCACCAAGAGGGAGCCCTGGTTTTGGAGGCTGTAGAAGGAGTGAGGGAGGAACTACCCATAACCACACTTTGTACAGAGCATTACCATTTAGAAATATCTATTATCATATTGAATTCACCCCACCACATTGTGAAGCAGCTTTTGTTACAATCATCCTCATCTTACAAATGAAGGCTGTATGACCCAATAAAAATACATTCCTCATTCGCTCACGTCATACCACCTAGTGAGTACTCAACATCAGGACTGCCACATCAAGTCTAGGAATATTTCAAGTCCATCACACCAATGCTTTCGTGGGAGAGAAGATTCATTAAGTCTTTACTGACAGTTCATTATAACTTCCAAGAAACATGAGCCAAGGGCAAGTACAATTATTTGTTTTGCTACTGACTTGCTGAAAGGGACTGGCAGAGGCAAGTGGTTGAACTCTGTCCTTCTGTTCCAAAAGCAAAGATGACCGAGGAAGAGGTGCCCTCGTCTTAGATTGTTACTGCATTTTGCAGAGCTGTCCCATTAAAATCAAGAGACCCAAATCCACATCGGCTAAATGTTGCACAGCCAATTACTGTAATTGCCGTCAATAAATCGTACACCTGTAAAAAGATGAATTGGCAAAAACTATATGATGTATATGCAATAACAGAAAGGGAAGGGTACCTGCTGAGGCTGCAAATATACAGCCAAATACTTCACGACTCCTTCATTCTGATTCCTTAATTGGAGGTTGAGATTTTATGGGGCATACAGTGAATTGGACTAATACCTTGTCTACTGTGTCATCTATCTCCTATTGGTATGTTTACCTGTGATCTGAAAAGCTTGCGAGTGGTCATCCAAGGCACAATTGGCCTTTTTTTCACCTGAAGCATCAGAGGAAGAAGAGTCAGGAATAGGAGGAAGACGTGAAATGTGTGACTAATTGCCTTCATGAACAGTTATCTCCTTAGCCATGAGACCAGAAGAACTGAATGATGCCTCCCTACCACACTGTGATCAAAGCCTTCATGGTAGAATCCTATCAAAAGAGAGGAAATGCAGAACAGAATACTAAGTTCTAACAGATTCAAGACTTTGTAGAGATAGAGAAGGTGGATGAACCATTTGAACTATCGCCCTCAGATAATCTTTAAATATTAAACCAAAAATATTCCCTGAAATCATCTATAAACAATAATTTAGCTTAACTAGTTGCGGGGGGGAGGGGAGGTGACCTTGAGTATTATGGGGGTTTTTTTTCTAAGCAGGAGTGGCATCTACTTCCTAAACAACATGCCTCCAGAAACTCTATGAACTTTGATAAATGTCAATAGTTGTAGAGGGGCTTCAGGCCTATTGTTCATAGGGTCCCTGGTGTTTTTGTTCACCTTATTTAATATTTATTGTTTGGATGGAAATTGAGCCACAGTTTAGTTCCAGGCTCAAAGGATGACTAAGCACTATCATTTTAGGGGTCCTATTGGACCATTTTTTTAAATTGACATTTTAATAAAAGTTTATAGAGACTTTGGATTTACATTCATTCATTGTTGCACATTTTCCTCCCTGTCCACTCCTCCCCCCAGTTGGTTTTTCTCTTTGAAAATTAAAAAAAGAGCCTTTCATTATTATGACTTTGCATTTTCCTCATTTGTCCCACTTCATCCAGGAGGATCCTGACCCTGAACCTGAGTGGTCAGGCACCATTTAGTTCTTTAAGTTCACCAAGTAAATTAGTCCTTTGGACGAACTGTTCTACGTGTCTTCGATCCCTTTTTGTTCTCCTTTGTTTGGGTCAGAGGGAAACCAGTAGTTGCACTCTGTCTTCACGTCTACCTTAAGGAAGGGAGTGCTGTACACAGGGTCATGCTGCTAACCACACACAGTGACACCTGGCTGGGGGCTCAGGTCGTCAGCAGCTCTGCAGGAGAGGACAGCAGTCTCCTCCAGTGCGATGCACAGCCTCCGAAAACCCACTGCAGGCTCATCTGGCTCCAACTCAAAGGCAGTGAGCTTAACCTCAAGGAAATAATTCTAAACAGACAACAGTCTTAACTACATGAACACACGGGTCTACAGAAACATTTTTTTAACCATAAAAGAGAGAAGGGGTGGGCAGGGGGAAAACTGCAACAATGAATGAATGGAAATCCAAAATCTCTGTAAATGTTCATTAAAATTCATAATAATTTTAAAATTAATTAATTACAAAATTGGAAACAACATAAATGTTTAAAGGATTTTAAAAAGTTAAATTATTCTACTCTGGTAGATATTATATATTATGCCTATAAAGACTCAGGTAGCCTACAGGGTAAGGAGTTGTACTACCAACCTGAAGGTGTACAGTTCAATTCCAAAAAATACTCAGTGGGAGAAAGAGAGGTAACTTCTTCACTTGCCCTTTACAAGCTCTTAGTACCCTTGGGAGGGTCGCTACGAGGGTCTGACTTGACAGCACATAACAGCAGCAGCAATAATATGAAAAATACTTATTACAAAATATCAAATTAAAACATCAAGCTGGGGTGAGCTCTGGTGGCCTAGTGGCGAGAAGCTGCACTACAATCCCAGAGGTGCGCAGTTCAAATCCACTGGAGGCTCAGCTGGAGAAGGAGGAACAATCTCTGCCTGTACCAGTCAGATCTGATTTGATGGTATACACAAAAAATAATTTAAAAAAAAACCAAAACATCAAGCTGGAACTTCTAAAGAATGGTTACAGCACAATAAAGTGAGGAGTTTAAAAACTGGGGGAAAAAAATTTTTTAAAAATGTGACTGGATTATATTCGAGAAGTAGGCAGTATGGATAGAAAAAATTCTTTTGTATTTTTTCTCAAAAAATTTTCTAACAATTTTTTTAATATGTTTCATTTTGATCCCATATTTCAAAATTAATAATTTTAAAAGAAACCCTTTCCAGGAAGCTGACTGTATTTCCACTCATTCAGCAAGAGTTCTCCCTATGCTGCACATTTCTCTAACTTATAAATTAAAATTTTTACCTGAAATTTAAATGTCTAATGAAATTTTTTGCCAGAAATTCAGCTCAGGATTGAAATTGTATGGGAAAAGACTCAGTAAAAATGTAATTAATTCACCTGAAAAAATATATATACACACACACATATATACATATATAACACATATGTATACATATATAACACATATATACACATACACATACACATACATATACATATATACACACACATATATATGTGTATATATATTTATGCCAGTGAAGTACAATACATGGTGACACAACCTTGTTTTAACAGAACATAAATTAGTAAGGATTATATAGGTTATGGGCAATCTGCTTCCTTGGAGATTAAAAACTCCTCTGAAAACTCACCATCTGGTCAGCTCTCAATTGGTTCTGACTCAACGGTATACAGTAGCAGTAAAAAAGTATTGTTGTTATTAGTTGAGTACAACCCATAGCGACCCTATGAACAAAGTAACAGATAAGCTTACCACTAGGTCTTCATTCATATGCACTTTGAGTTAGGTCAAGTGACTCTCCAGGAAAACCCTTGCCTGCCAGTGACACCACAGCAAGTCCCTTTGATTTCTGTGACATTGTTCTGCCCACGAAATGCCCCTCAAAAGAATAATCCACATGTTTGTAAATACAAATAAGCACTTTATTCCAGAGAATATCCACATGTGGAGACTTTCTCCCTCTGTAGGAAGGTGGCGAGGGAAAAAGCTCCGAGTTCCCCTCCACAATTGCTTTCATGGCTTTCCTGGGTGCCACTGTCGGGGCGGGAAGATTGAGATCATGGTTGGTGGGTCAGGGGATCAGTCATGTGGGCCGGCTTTTGACGGGCTGGCTACTTTGCCCACCTTTACTCTTTTTGTATCACGTAGACACTAGTTAATTCTTTACTTTGCAAGGACAGATAAGACTTTACCCGGGGCATTTGTGTTTGCCTTAAGCTAAGAATTTTTATGGCCCGCTTCTGCTTCTGGTATTAATGGGGGTTTGGGGTTTATGCTGTCCCCTCAACATCATCTCAATCTGTGCTTGCCAAGATCTTTATGGGGCGGAATATGATCAAGTTCATATAGAGGATGTATTTTTCTTTTTTCCACATTTTTTCCTTTTTATTTTTTTATTTTAATGAAAGTTTACAGAGACGTTGGATCTCCATTCATTCATTGTTGCTCACTTTCCTCTCTGCCCACCCCTCCCCTTCAGTTTGCTTTTCTTTGAAAGTTAAAAAAAAATCTTTCATTATTATACAATCCCTCCCCCCGACCCTCAGTCCACTCCACTATGCAGCTTTCATTCTGGACTCTTATCATGAGGTATGATTATACCTAATCATATATTCCTCCTAAACAGTTCTCTCTCTCATCTATTTCAATGCAGTATGCATTATTTATTCCCTTTTAGTTTCCCCCCAAACCTGATATTAGTCTGTTTTACAACAGTGGCATTATGCAATATTTGTCCTTTTGTGACTGAGATATTTCACTCAGCATAATGTCCTCCAGGGTCACCCATTTTGTACAATAATTCATGAGTTCCTTGTTTTTCAATGCAACATAGTATTCCATTGTGTGACTATACCACAGCTTCTCTATTCATTCGTTTGTTGATGAGCACTTGGGTTATTTCCAACTCTTTGCTACTACGAACAAAGCCGCAAAAAACGTGGGTGTGCATATATCTGCTTGCATATAGAGGATTTCTAATGATCTGGCCAGATGTTGGCTCACAGCATTTCACTTCATAGATAACTGGCCTGAAACCAAGGCCTCAACATAATTGCAAAGAGGCAGGAAAATGTAGTCTTCTTTTGTCTTTCCCAAAAGGGGGGAGGGGTAAGACTTAGTGACTACTTAGCTTTTCTCTGTCATCAGCAATTGGACAACTGATCAAATCTTCAAATTATAAGAGCATTAGAAGACGATGAGAATAATTCAGAAATAAGGTGC